GGCCGTCCCCGCCCCACAGGCCGCCCCTCGCCTCGCTCCTGCGGCCCTCCTCGGCTTCCTGCCCCCGCCCCATCCGCGGGCCCCCTCGTCTCGGCGCCCCCTCGCCCTCCCCGCGTCTCCTTTCTCTGCCCACCGCTCTGCCCTGCGCTCCCTGCCCCCCAGCTCCCCCCAGCGGCCTGGTGGCACCTGGGAGGTGTCCGAAGCGGCTTGGATTCCACGGACGCCGAGCGCCCTCGGAGTGCCCGGCCCGCTGGGGTCCGGGCGGGAGACAGCTGCCCGCGTTCGTAGCAGCAGGCCGGGCACCGGCCCCGTGAGGCATGACTTTGTCCTCGCCACAAACCTAGAGAGTGAGGCACCCCTTCTCTCCGTCGTGCAAACGGAAAACCCGAGGCCTAGAGAAAGTTCCCCGGCCCGGGGTTGCACAGCTAGAAAGTGTGTGAAAAGACACGGTCTCTCACTGTGGGCAGCAGACAGGTACACGGGCGACGGTAGTGCGAAAATGGCAGGGAGGCAGGGGAAGGAGAGGGCAGGGGCCGGCCTCTGATTTGAGCTGAGCTCTCAGGGAAGGCGAGGATTTCAGGTGGGGAGCATGGCTGGGGCACGGAGATGGGCAATGCCCGGCCTGGTCGAGGACCGGAAAGGTGTCCCTGCACCTGGTCAGCAGGCGTTGGGAGAGGAGGCTGTCGGGAGAGTTGCAAGGAGCGTCAATACCTGGCCTTCATCACGGCGGCGAGGTGCTGTTGATGGAGCCGGAGTTCTCTGACCATCATCAGCTCCTCTCAAGCCACGCGTTTTCTGCTTCCCTGGCAGGAGTCTGGGGACAGCCCCGTATCACCCGGCCACCATTTAGTAAGGAGCTGGGCTTGAGCAGAAACCATCTCCACCTCCCACCAAGTGGCGTGAGGGCCTTTCCACCGGGCGCCATGGCCCTGTGAAAGTGCTAAGAGACCCGGTGCCCTTATTGTTTGTAAAGTAGGAGTTTACCCAGATGCCCTTTCCTGCAACCCAGAGATGGTCACGATGGCAGTCAGGTGCACTTGGACGCGGAGTGAGTAGGACTTCAGTGGAGGGAAAGCTGGGTGGTGAAGTGACAGGATCCATCTGGAGCAAACTCTGGGCAGGAGGTGCCAGCCTCAGGGCACAACACCTGCCTCTGGAACGCAGGAGTCCCGCCCGCATCCTTTTGTTGCCCTCCCAAGCTCTCCCCTGTCCAGCTCCTCCCAGACCTTGGTGTGCATCTCAAGCCCTTCTTCAGGTCGGAGGACATCTGGTCCAGCCTCCCTGCAGACAACCCGATTCTCTGACGCTCCGGAATCCGTGACGGTTTTTTTGGCCTCTGCCGAAACTCTCCTTGTCACTGTTTTCTGAGGTGTCCACCCATGTTCTAGTTCTCAGTGACTTTCTCTAAATGAATCCACATTGTTTTCTGGTAGTCACTTTATTTTGCAAATAGTCACCAACCATTTGTTGAGGAATCATTTTCAGAACGTTGTCAGGAACTGTTGATCTTCAGCTGCTGCTGGAGAAAATGCACCAGTAGCGGGACCCCCTCTCTGACCACTGGGTTAGACCTTCAGATGTGGGTGTGGGTGGGTCAGTTGGTCCAGGCTCCACTCAAAGCAAAAAAAATGTGCCCTTTCCCCAGTTTCCCCAGCTGCCGGTCATTTAAGCCACTGTGTGAATTTTCCAGCGACGGGGAAGTCACTGGTTGGGGAAGCTCCCCACCCCCCCCTTTATGGTGGTTGCTGCACGTATAAAATCTAATCTAATGGCATGTGTCTTACCATCCCCACCAGTCGCTGATCCTGGGGCAGCTACAAGAATGTCTGAGACCATAGTTCTCCCCTTGGGCAGGAAGGATGGGTGAGAAAAAGTCGATCTCAGGAGGTCCAGGGGACTCGTGTTGTATCAAAAAGTCTAACTCTTGGCTGGTGGAGATTTGTAGTAATGGTGATTTTTAGTTTGGGGGAGGGATGGGTGGTGACTGAGGAAGAGACAAAATCGGATGGTCCTACGGGGAGAGGAATTAGCCATTAGATTTTTATGTTTATTAAAAAGAGACACGAGATGCTTAAAAGAAAGTGGTTGAGCAGTGCTCTTGTTTGTGCTGTTTCAATGAGCCAGCTGATTTTTTTTTGCTAGGTCATCGTCAGTCGTCAGTAGAGTTCCTGTGCGATTGTGATGGGAGGTGCTGGCTGGGCTCTAGGAAATCTGCAGTTTACTATTTCTCCACTCGAACACCCTAGCAGAGCTCAGCCACCGTTTATGAGCAGAATGGCCCTGAGCAGCTGCCGCGCGTGGGCCATGCACTATGCTGTGAACAGGGGCTTTGCTGCCTTCAGGGCTGGTAGAGGTGGATGCAGGAGGTGACTCTGTAGGGTGGTGAGTGCCACCATAGGGGGTCTGCACAGCGTGCTGCACAGGCCTGGAAGGAAGGCATCCACCCAGACTTAGGCGATATCTGCGACACCCAGAGGAGGTGATTGGTAGGCTGAGATCTGGCATGTGGCACAGGGCACCCCCACCTTCCATGTATGGGCTGCTGCCCCCAGCCCACCTCCCCCATGCCTAGGGGAGTCGGGCTCACAGCTGGTGGAATAACTGATACTGATCTTCTGTCTTTGTTTCTGAAAGATTTCTCCGTGGACGATGGCAGCTACAATTCAGGCCATGGAGAGGAAGATCGAATCGCAGGCTGCCCGCTTGCTCTCCTTAGAAGGTCGAACTGGCATGGCCGAGAAGAAGCTGGCCGACTGTGAGAAGACGACCTTGGAGTTCGGGAACCAGCTGGAGGGCAAGTGGGCCGTGCTGGGGACCCTGCTGCAGGAGTACGGGCTGCTGCAGAGGCGGCTGGAGAACATGGAGAACCTGCTGAGGAACAGGAACTTCTGGGTCCTGCGGCTCCCCCCGGGCAGCAAGGGGGAGGCCCCCAAGGTAAGCCTGGGCACCTGGGGTGGGACAGCCGGAGGGGCCGTGCCTGTCAGTGTGGGTGAGTATGCATGACACTTGTGGTTCCAGGTGCCCGTGGCTTTGGATGACATGGCTGTCTATTTCTCTGAGCAGGAGTGGGGCAAGCTGGACGAGTGGCAGAAGGAGCTCTATAAGCACGTGATGAGGGGCAACTACGAGACGCTGGTCTCCCTGGGTAAGGCCTGATACTCATGTCTCTGTGATTTGGGGAGTCCTCAGGCCTCCCTCTTCATGCCAGTGGGTTTTATCACAAAGGTGTATCACTATAAACTTGGACCATGCAAAGCGTTATCTCCTCCTCTCCCTAAAGATGAGCGTTGGGTGAGTGAGTCGAAGGGTCCCTTCTACATGGCAAACTTCATGGGCTGCCGACCGTGGTCGGGCGGCCCTCCCAGCCAGGCTTGCAGCATGGCCGCTTCCCTTCTCCTGCTGAGACGTGGCGTGGAGAAGGCGCCGACCATTCTCAGATCCTGGGCGTCATGGCCCACATTGGAGAAGGACTCACTCCTGCAGCCTCCTCTGACGGAGCTGTGCGGCCTTGAGTGCCGCTCCTCCGGGTCTGTGGAGGATACGGGCAGACCATGCTTGCAGCCAGTCCAGTCTCCATGCTAGAGACTTCGTTCCCCCAGGCGCTAACCCATGAGGAGAAGAAGGCCTGGGCTGTGTCTTCCTGGGCTTATTTCCTCTTGGGATGTTTCTGTGTGACCCCAGATCTGGAGGCAGCGAGGCACCCTTGGTGAGGATGGGAGCAGGTGCAGGAATGATGTTATATTTCAGTTTGCAGAAATGTACTGCTTCTTAATGTGGAGACTCTATACCACAGTTTTTTCGCCTTGGTACTGTGACATTTCAGGCCAGGTGACTCTGCTGTGGGCGTGCTCGCCTCCACCCCCCAGGCGCCAGTAGCACCTCTCTCCCAGCCCCCAGTCGTGACAACCAAACATGTCTCCCTGGGGCACAAAATTGCCTGTGGTTGAGAACCACTGTTCTACACCAATCAAGACATTTTGTTTCTTGGCCATTCTTGGTTTCCCAGCTACCTGTCCCCAACTCTGAAGGGAACCACGTGGCAAAGCTGACCTTTCTCTCTCTCCACAGACTACGCCGTCTCCAAGCCCGAGGTCCTCTCCCAGACTGAGCATGGGAAGGAGCCGTGCAGCTGGCGCCGCGCTGGCCCCAAGGTTCCCGATGTCCCTGTGGACCCAAGTCCAGGTGAGGGACTGCGAGGAGGCCAGGCTGACACCGGGCATTTAGGCAGAAACGGAAGTCAAGGGCCAGGGAGAGCGTTGCCTTCTAAGTTTTATTTTTCAGTTGAGTTTTGACCCAGTGTTCAGCTAACACTCTGGGAACACTTCCCAGTGTGGAAACAGACAGGAAACCCAGTCTTGGAGGAAAGAGACAGAGCCAGTGGCTCTGGGTTAGGGGAAGTGAAGGATGGACACTGATAGGGAAGGAAGGAGTCTGTTAAAGTCAAAATGTAAGTCATTCGTAGCTTTACGAAGAGCCAGCTTCCATCCAAGACCCAAAGCTCATTTTAATCCATTAGTAGCCACAGAACGTTAACCCGTTAGCCACATGCTAACCCCATGTTTCGATATGATTTAGAACCACGGATTTATTTAAAGTGCATCTGGGTACCTGCTCTCACTCTCAGACTTTCCTGGAGCTAGTCAGCACCTCTGAAGGTTAAGGAAAGGACAGTGGATACATGAGACAGGCCACGTGACTGAAGCCGCCTGACCAGGGAACCCCGCCTCCTCCACAAGACCCCCTTGCCTGTGCCCCCTGCCTTGGTTTCCCTCTCATTTGAACACCTGTGTTACTAAAAAGTCTTACCCTGATTAATTCGTGATGACCGAAGTGCCTTCCACGTTTGCTGTTTCATCACAGTTAGCTTTTTACTTTTCCAAGGGCAGACCGTGTACAGAACGGACTGCATCATCAGCGGTCAGGAGAGCACTCACTGGTTTAGGTGCCAAGGACGGTCCGAAAGCTAGAGGACAAAATGACCAAAAGAGGGTTATGACACAGGCTGCTTCCATCTTCTTAGCCTGGGCGGGAGGTTCACGGAGGGCTTGTTTTATTACATTTATAACGTACGTGGAAGTCTCTCGGTTTCCACACTGACATTAATGAGAGTGAAGAGGGGCCTGGAAAAATGGTGGCTGCTGGTGAGACCCTCACCATGTCCTGCCCTGTGACACTCAGACTCCACTCTGCCTGGAGCCTGTCATCTTGAATCCCGTGTGGCCTTATCCCCGCCCACCTCAGTGCAAGAAGCCGGCACCCCCAGTCACTCCTCTGGGTGTGGTGCAGCCCCTGTCAGACCTCCTCTCCCGCTTCTCTCCAGCCCCTGATCCCCCAGCTGTGCTTTGTGGCACTCAGTCCTCAGCGAGACCCCCAACCCTCGGGCTCTTCCCGGAGTGTCCCCGTCTGCGTTTGCTCAGATGAGACTTGGTTCCCACGGGAGCCCTGTGTCTCCCCTGCAGCCCTGCCCTTCCCCACGGCCCTCTGCCCAGGCCTGGCAGGGGCCGGTGCCCTGGCTCCTCGGTCCCTCTGCGCCAGACTCCCCCTCCTCCCTGGAACATGCACCTTTGAATCAAATGCCTCCTGTCTCCTGTCTTCTGCAGACCTCTGAGCCTCCCTCACCCTTATCTCTGCTGCCGCCATCATTCTTTTTTTTTTTTTTTTT